AAATAGTGGATTTCATTTAAGGTTTAAATTACAACAGTAATTGTTTTATAAAAATAAAAAAAAAAGAATTTATGTCGAACCTGACTTTAATAATTTTTCACCAAGGACCCACTCAATATTGTAGCCAACATCAACAGAACATTTCAGTTGGAATCTGCTGCCATTACAGAGAATATAGTGATCCTTTTCACCCACATTAATATTGGGGCGTTTTTTAATAGCAATGTTTTGCCATTGAATGTACGATACATTGCCTTGTATGATGCATGAGTATCGACCTGCATGTAGAGGGAAAAAAACAAAAAAAGAAAAATCAAAAGAAAAATACTTTTTTTTTTTCCATTTTATAAAACAAACCCACTACTTTCAGTTTAAGAAACATTTATATTTATGTCCATACTTACTTTTTATGTATATATTTATTTGCTCTCAAAATAATACTTTGTAAATGTTGACATTCACACACTGTCAGTGTAGCTTAATTTTCATCGGTTGATTGGTTCATCATCTCTGCCATATATGGTATACACTCTAAAAAACATGGTTCTTTAAAGGGTTTTTTTAATGCCTAGTAGCAGTTCTATTTAGGATAATATCAGCCTGAAAATAAAAACTTCACCTCTATTCCACCTCCAGCTCACTATTGATTTCCTGGTGCTCAACCATCCAACTACACAGACTGTCAACACACACTCAACAGGTAAATAATTTCTGAAAATGTCTGTAATTTTTCATTTTTAAATTGTAACTGGTTTTCTACCAAATAATGCCTTTTTCTCTTTCTCTTAGTTTTTTTTAACAGAACATGTAAATGTGACACTTCTCTCCTCTTCTCCACTAGGTAACAGAGATATTGAAATTATTATCCATATTGTTAAGGTTGTTTTAATTATTATTTGCATAAACATACCCAGTCACAAAAACACTAAAGCTATCCAATGACTTCACATCACTTTTCTATTTTAAAATTGTGAAGGGCTCACATACTGTCCTTTGCTACTTTTGGCCTTCATAAATTGTTTTTACATAAACAAATAAAAGAGACACACTGTAACTCTAAGCTCAGTTGTGTTTTCAGATGCTGTCTTGTCCCACAACCTCATCATCTGCAGAGAGAAAGTGCAACTCACAGTGTGTTTCCATCACCCTGTGAATATATTTGATTAATTTTGAAGTAGTACAACAGAAACAAGTGCTGGAAACACCCCATTTTTTGGGGGGGGGGATATTTTAATTTGCAAAAACGTTTTTATGCTCACTTGAGGTGGTTTTTCACTAGTGCAAAAAAGTGTTAATGCGAATAATGGGAGATGGAAATGCATTTTGCGAATAAATTCCTCCATGTTCATCAAAAAAGTAATGTGGCTGCGCTATGGGACAGCATTACCTGACAAACCAGCAGACCAATAAAAAAAAAAGTATTTTTATAATTGCCTCCCAGAACTATCTTAAACGACTGTTTATTAATTATGGATTTGAGGGCATCAGGATTGTGAAGATACTTCACTGGAAGTAGGTCTTCAAAAATAAAAGTATCTAAATGGCACAACATGTTGTTGTTGTTGTTTAGTCTAAAACCATAATAGAGGCGACAACATATGACAAGACCAGTATTGTTACAAACCAGAGAACCCTAATATGATACTGTTTAGAACCATTTTCTTAAGAGTGCACTATTATTGTATGCTATAGTATATCAGTACTGATACACTAAAATAAACACTTAAATATCATAGACAATACAAGAATAAATCTCATGTCACTCACCACTGTCACTTTCACTTGCGTTTTTTACAGTGAGAGTTCTGTTGTCATTTGAAATTAAGTATCTTGTGTCACCTAGTGCAGGATCTTTGTTATCCACTGTCCATTTTATTTGTCCCTTTGCAAAGTCTGGCTGTCTACAGTTCAGGTCCACCTTTTGCAGAGGATATAACTGATCTGTTGTTAGGACAGTTTGATCTGTAAATAAAAACCATACAGCTCAAATATCCCAACAGTGAACAAAAAACAATACATTTGATGAAATGTAAAGAGTTTTAGATTAGGCACTGACTACCCTTACCACTTAGAGTAAAATCATCTTTAGCTAAAATTAATCCTTGTGTTCTTAGAGAGTCAGAAACCTGTGTGTTTGCTGCTTCAAAATCAAGGCTGTTGGATGTCGCACTTATTGTGAAGTCTGCTATAACACTACCAGGCCTAGAGTGAAACACAAACCACTTCAGTGTGAAGGCTCTGTATTAACATTATATTTATATATACTGTATATGTTTGAAAAAGTTGGAAAAGTTTTGCCAAAAAAGTTTGTAAATCATACCTGAAGCCAGTGACTTTAACAGAACCAACCTTGTAGCCAGTTAGCTTATTAGAATAACTTGTGTCAATCTGTAAAAAGTAAAAGGTGTGCGTGAAAATTTTATAGAATATAAATTTGATTGTATTTATAGTATTTAAACAATATAATCAAAAATCAACAACTTACACAAATAATATATTTCTTTAAAATATGAAACATGTAATACTCACTGCTGACTCAATTTGTCCAGATAAAACTTTGTAAGTCGGGCTATTACGGTCAGTAAGACTGATGTCAAATGTCAAATCAGATATTTTCATTGACATTCCAATAACTGTAAAAGAAGTGTACATTTATGTGTATTGTAACAACAGGTTTAAGCAACAATCCTCAATACTAATACTACCTAGTTGCTGGGAGTAGACGAAATGAACCCACCCCCAACCCCCAAAAAATACCTGTTATTATTGACATGCCTTGTATACCCCAATTTGTGACTGTGCTACTAAATGTAATACTAAGATCATTATGCAGTAATTTAGACACAAAATATTTTTGTTGAATATTACAGTACAAAAAAAATGAGTAAAACCAAAATATGCATTTCATTTTTTTACTGAATGAAACCAAAATTAAAAGTAAAAAAAATCAAAGGGTTTATGGATCTATATTTGTTTACCTAAACATGCAAAGCAAAAAATTCATTCACTTATTTAATTAATCTATTTATTTTTAGAAGCCAAAAAGTCTAAAATAAACTTACTCACTCTGTATCAAAATACAGATTGTTACTGACTGTAAACACCACCAACAATAACACAAGAATTAAGCAAGAGTTATCTATACTAATACTAATCTTCACCATCATCACATGATTTATCTCAGATTTTTTTTTACTGGGCATACCTATTGTTTTCATAATTGTTCTTGTTGTTGATGGTTGTATTGATTTTGATGGTGTTGATTGCATATATGTTGACTGTGTTGAGATTGATGGTGTTGATGGCGTATATATTGATTGTGTTGAGTTTGATGGTGATGATGCCGTATATTTTGATTGTGTTGAGTTTGATGGTGTTGTTGGCGTATATTTTGATTGTGTTGAGTTTGATGGTGTTGATTGCGTATATTTTGATTGTGTTTGATTGTGTGATGGCGCAGATGTTGATTGTGCTGCTGTTGATTGTGATGGTGTAGATGTTGATTGTGCTGCTGTTGATTGTGATGGTGTAGATGTTAATTGTGTTGCTGTTGATGATGGTGTAGATGTTGATGATGATGGTGATTCTGTTGATGGTGTAGATTTTGATTGTGTTGCTGTTGATGATGATAGTGATTTAGTTGATGGTGTTAGCATTGATGGTGATGGCGTTGCTGTTGATGATGATGGTGATTCTGTTGGTGGTGTTGGCATTGGTGGTGTTGCAGTTGATGATGATTCTGTTGATGATGCCGGCATTGCTGTTGATGATGATGTTGATTCTGTTGATGGTGATGGCACTTCTGATGATGGTGTATATCTTGATTGTGTTGCTGTTGATGATGATTCTGTTGATGGTGTAGATGTTGATTGTGTTGCTGTTGAAGATGTTGATGATTCTGTTGATGGTGATGGCGTAGATGTCGATTGTGTTACTGTTGATGGTGATTCTGTTGATGGTGTTCGTGTTGATGGCGATGGCAGTGCTTTTAATGATGATGTTGATTCTGTTGATGATGGTGCATATGTTAATTGTGTTGCTGTTGATGGTGATGGTGATTCTGTTGATAGTGTTAGTGTTGATGGTGATGGCATTGTTGATGATGGTGATTCTGTTGATGGTGAATATTGTGATTGTGTTGCTGTTGATTCTGTTGATGGTGATGGCATAGGTGGCGATTGTGTTACTGTTGATGATGATGGTGATTCTGTTGATGATGTTCGTGATGATGGAATTGCTGATGATAGTGATTCTGTTAATGGTGAATATTTTGATTGTGTTGCTGTTGATGGAGATGACATAGATGTTGATTGTGTTGCTGTTGATGGTGATTCTGTTGATAGTGTTAGTGTTGATGGTGTAGATGTTAATTCTGTTACTGTTGATGATGGGGATTCTGTTGATGGTGTTACCATTGATGGTGATGGTGATGGCGTTGCTGTTGATGATGATGGTGATTCTGTTGATGGTGAAGACATTGATTGTGTTGCTGTTGATAGTGATTCTGTTGATGGTGGAGTAATTGATTGTGTTGATAATGTTGTTGATGATATTGATGGTTTTGTTGTTGATAGTGATTCTGTTGATACTGATTGTGTTGGAGATTCTGTTAATGGTGCTGTTGGTGGTTGTACTGTTGAAAAAAATGGACATGACTGGGTTTGACTCTGTGCCTCTAAACTCTTTAAATCCTGTAAAATCTTTATAAAGATACTATCAAAACACTTCATACATGTCAAATCAAGTCATTCTTCCATAACACTAGCAAAGTTTGTTACCCAACAAACACACTTTGTCATTCATGAAACAATGACCTAAAACACAAGCAACAGGTAGAATTATACAATGTTTTCTTTTGTAAAATATTTTTACAAAACAAGAACTAGTTTATGAAATTGCTGTTGTGATGTGGACTTCAGGATTCAAAGGGATAGTTTAGCAACAAAAAAAATCCATCATCATTTACTTATGCTCATGTCATTAAAAACCTGTATGACTTTCTGTGGATCATAAGACATATTCAGAGAAATGGTTTATTTATTTATTTTTTATTTATTAATGGGTTTTTTTGGTCCATGCAATGGAAGTCAGTGATAATCAAGACGGTTTGGTTACCAACATTCTTCAAAATATCTTCCTTTAAGTTCCACAGAAGACAGAAAGTCATACAGGTTTGAGTAAATTTGGGTGACTTGACTTGAGGGTGAGTAAATGATGACTGATAATATATTTTTGGGCGAACTATCCATTTAAGTTAAATGTGTTTACGTACCTGTTGCTGGTTGCGCACATGTTATGTTATCACCTGGAACAAGATGAGCGTTGATTAAAAATTATTTGTATACAGTTCAAAAGTATCTGACCTACAGGTCTTTTATGTGATTACAAACAGAAAATGTATAAAATTATTTTACTTGTTATCTCGTTGACTCTTTGACAGAACTGTCTGTCACTTGGAATATCATTGATGCAGCTGCATGTGTTGTTAGTGATGCTGTCACAGCTCCCATATTCTTTGCATTTATCACATGGCCAGAAATACTGGTCCTCACATACACACTTGTATCCACTGTCATTGAAATTGCACACTAAGAAAGGATAAAGTGTAAATGTAACCTCTTATTTAACAGATTAGCACTACTGTATTTGGGTTCAGAAGGTAATGTGATATTCTTCACCTGTCGTGATGTCCACGTCTAATACTTCAACCACCTCATCTAATTGAAGTGGAAGAGTGATGTTCTGCAGATATCGCCTCATCTCATCGATCACAGAGATGCTTGTTGATTCCAACTCAATTTCAGACAAGATGTCTGTGAAGGGCAGTTCTGTGACAGAATCAACAAGCTTACAATCATTGTAAACCCATTGTTTTCATTGTATTTTTTCATTACAATGTATTTCTACCACAATATATACGTTTATATAATTAATTATATTAACAACAGCAATGAGTAAATATATCAAGAAATAGCAGCCTACATTGTTCACTATATTTGTCAGTTTCTATGGGGGTTAATATATTTTTTTAATTTTTATATTAGATAATGTTCAAATTATGATTCATATTTTTTTTTTAAATGATTAAAAGTAAGTATAAGGCTGTTAAATATAATATATATTTTCACTGTAAATATGCAAAATCATACTTTTTTAATAAAAAAGTGATTATAAAATTACCAGTTAAATGTAATATATTTTTACTGTATATGTTATGGTAACTTACAGTTAACCAATTGACAGTTTTTTTACTGTAGTATTTTAACATTATTTTTCTTTTTGAGTGCATTTGCTGCTGGCTTGTTTGGTCATCATTCTTACCGTTCTCCATCACACACATTTCTCCATCACTGGGAATATGACTGATACATCCACATGAGCCAAAACTGATGTCACCACAGGCCTCATATGTCTGGCAGTTGTTGTATGACCATGCATAACCAGCTTCACATACGCACTGGTATTCAGACACATTTGGTTGGCACACTGACATAAATATAACACACAGGTTAATATAATGTTTACACAGCTGAAAGAATGACGGAAATAGCTTTTAAATACCAGTTTAACAGGTTCACCTGTTGTAATGTTTGCAGAAGTAATTTCAGTACTGTTGCCCATTTGAAAAGGAAACATGACAAAGGCCAATGATGTTTTGATCTGTTCAATCACCACAGCTTGGGATACATTCATTTCCACAACCGCAAAGTATTCCAATAGATCTATACATACAGGAACATTAATGTGACTTTAATAATTATGCAGGCAGATAGTAAAGTACAAGACAAAACCCTTGACAGACAAAATCCCTCGCCCAAAAATGTAAAAGTATACTATGTTAATGTATCTTTTTTATATATGAATAACAGCACACTTTTATTAGAATAGTGTGTATGAGTAGAGGACAAACTGTGACACATTCAGTACCTGTGCTTCTTGGTCTTCTATGATGCAGTTGCCCATCTATGTAGCTAAACTGGAATAAAATAACAGAAATTCAAATTTATTTTACATATAGAATTTTATCACATTAGTTAACTATGCGACCATATAGCTTCATACTATTAATTTTATGTTTTGTTGCTATAATCATAATTGTTAAATATTTTAAATGCTTTTAATGGGTACAAAACATTTAATTCATAATATAAATTACTATCTTATTGACAGTTCTGAAAATGACAGAAATCTGTTGTTTTTCATATTGTATGAATTGCATTCATTCCTGTATTTGTTTCTATAGTAGTTCCCTACCTGTAACTCGATATTTGTTTCTGGAAAATCAGAATATGCATTCGCATATGCATTCCGTATTCCACATTCACGGGTCAGCAGGACAGCCATGCTGATTCCTATGAAGTACTTTAATATTTGTCCTGTATCTTAGGAATTGAGAAATTAAACATCAGGAAAAAATGTAAAATTAAAGGTCACAGAAAATAAAATACATATGTGTACAGTGCTGCATGACTTCTTCTACAATGCAAATATCTAAACTTGTATCTACAGCCAACGACCGGGAAAACTTTTGCGTGTGTCTAATGGTGCAAAAAATTAGAACTGGCTGTCTTTGTCCATTGCATGGAATGCTTCAATGTGGACATCTCCACGTTTGCGTGTTACTAGCAGGTTACTTTAGGTAAAAACTATAATTAACATTAAAATAACCTTAATTAATACCCATGTATCTACCCCGCTGCCATAGCTGTTAGAAATGATATGAAAGTAGTATGCAGGCATAACATTCTTCTTAAAACGTCAACACATTCTGTCCCATGTGACATCTGTATACTGTATGTTTATATTTACACTAATTTTTACTATATGGTAGATTTTGTTATTTTCACTTGTTTGCACATTTGAATGATCATAACTTTAATTCATATTTTAGTATATTTGTTTAATGTTTTATAGTTTATGACAAGTTTTGGTATTATATGAAAAGTTTGCTTATTTGAAGATCATTACATAAACATCTGCACTAAACTTCTTTATTGATTAGTGATGGATAGAATAAATAAACATGGTTCACTAATCAGTAGTTTTTAAGAGTACTGATATTTTTACTTTACTATCACTAGTATTCTGACAAACTTCTTTACACAGTATTTAAATGGATAGTTTAACCACCCCCCCCCCCCCCCCCCACCTCTTTCTCCCCCCCACATCCTCCTACCCTCCTTATTTTTTTTTC